GGGGGGGGGGGGGCTCTAAATCTTTGAAATTTCTCAGGTAATAAGAGTGACTGTTATTCATGAGCCCCTGAGACCACATCAGAATTTATGCTGACAGAGATGTCTCAGGATGGGGGCTGGTGGGGAGGGAGGGGACCTGGGGATTGAGTTTAATTATGTGGCCAGTGATCAAATCAATTATGCTACTGGTGGACACTGGATAAAACTTCCCACCCCAAGGCGCAGTGCAGCTTCCTGGTTGGTGAACACACTGATGGGTCAGGAGCATGAGAAGTTGTCCTAATCCTATAGGGAGAAGACACAGAAGCTCCCCATTTGGGACCCTTCCTGACCTCACCTTATGTGTTTTTCATTTGGCTGGCCCTGATTCGTATCCTTTATGATAAAATGTAGTCATAAGTATATCATTTTCCTGAGTTCTATGAGTTGTTCTATGACATTAATGAACCTGATGGGGTTGTGGTCACCCCCTGGATTTATAGCCAGTTGATTAGAAGTGCAGGTGGCCTGGGGACCCCAGAACTTGTAGCTGATGTCTGAAGTGAGGGCAGGCTTGTTGGGGTCTGAGCCCTTAACCTATAGGGTTTGTGCTAACTTGGAAGGCTCATGACAGAATTGAATTGCACTATTGCAATTTATTTTATGGACAGTTTCTCAGGTAGGTGAGAAAAACATTATTGCCTCCATCATACAAATGAGTAAATGGAGCATAGAGAAATTAAGTGGTTTTTTAAAGGTGTCCAGTGACAAAAACCCAGATCTCCTTCTTAAAACTCAAGGTGGAACCCCAGCCAGGTGGCTCAGTTGGTTGGAGGGTCGTCCTGTGCACCGAAAAGGTTGGGAGTTCTATCCCTAGTCCAGGTGAGTACAGGAGGCAGACCATCCATCGGTGTTTCTCTCTCACATCAATGTTTCTCTCTCCCTCTCTCCCTCTCAAATTAATAAACATATTCTGGGGTGAGGTTAAAAAGCAACAACGAAAACCTCAAGGTGGAGTAGGGGTTGAAAGTTCATTAAAGCTCCAATTTATCACCCCATTTCCTTTTGTCTTTTATGATTTAAGTTTTAAAATGTTTTTGCCCATTTCCTCTATTTCTTTCACAGATGATATTAATCACAGATATTATGCAACATGGTCTGGGACTTTCTGCTCTTATTTCCCTACATCCATTCTCTCAATCTCTGCCCCATCCCCTCCCCAGGACTTCTGGTGGTTCCCGAGGCTCCATTTCATGCAGATTATTCATCCCCTGTAGTCTAATGTCTCCTATCCTCTTAAGATAGCTCCATTTGCGTATTTTACTGATGAAATCTAACATTTAATGCAGCTTTTGCAAAGTCACAAATGCCCTGTCTAGTTCCATTGTTGAGCAGTTGTGGGATGGTGAAAGCAGGAAACGTAACTGTGGGGAGTTTGTGATCAAGAGAGTCCCATTATCTATTTTTCCCAGTAGAGTTCTGTTTATACCTTTGTTTTCTTTAAGTGTTTCTTTGTCATCTTCTCTCTCTGTGTCTTCTGGAAGTATGGGTATGGTTGGCTCTGTTCTTTCACCTGGAGACAGACACATGGATTTGGCATCACAATCCAGATATTCTCTGAGGTCCTACCAGGTTCAAGGTGGGGTGCCAAAAGGCAGTAGCAATTTGACCAGGGCCATTTATAAACACAGAAAAGTAAGGGTGGCCAGTCCAACGTGGCTCAGTGGTTGAGCATTGACCTGTGATACAGGAGATCCCGGTTTGATTCCCAGTCAGGGCACATGCCTGGGTTTCAGGCTCTATCCCCAGTAGGGGATGTGCAGGAGGCAGCCGATCAATGACTCTCATCATTGATGATTCTCTCTCTCTCTCCCTCTCCCTGAAATCAATAAAAAATAAATTTAAAAGAAAAGTAAAATAAAGGGTAGAATTTGCTGATGTAGAGGTTTAATTGTCTTTATTTTTCTGGTGAGACTCTTGCTGCCAAGAATCATGTACTGAAACAAGCAGCAGGTGGCACCAAGGCCCATATAGTACAGAGGTGCTAAGGGAAAGGGCTAATGACTCACTTCTAGGACCATCAATGATCAGTTTGACTCACTTGTTTAAACAGATCCAGTTATTCTTTTCATATTGTCAGTAATGACAAGTAACATCTCAGACCAAATTTGCAACTGTTCCCTTTCAGCTTGGAGAGAAACAGACAACACTAGAGAGAGACTAATGAACAACCTGTCACTGCTGGATGTGGCATATACCTGCTTAAATGTTCTGGGTTAACATCGTTTTGATCTTTCTGTTGAATAATAACCTGGTCTAAAGATCACATGGTTCTAAACCTATGAAGAAGGGCTGTGAAATAGCCCAAATTAACCCAAATCTCAAAAGACAGACTTATCTCCCAGCCCCACAGAAGGAGCTGTTGGTTCCTCTGTAGCAGAAAGAAACAAAAATAAAAAAATAACTAAATTTCCATGCCATCAGAATGAAATTGGCATCCAGATCACAGCATCTAGTTACTAGCTCATCCAGCCATCAGTAAACTATCTTAGTGTTACTAGATGCCAGGAATGATGTTAGTAAGTCAAAAGGATCACTCCTGCACAAAGATAGCTCTCCCCAGCTTTGCTTGGGCACGTTTTTCTTTTTTAAAAAGTATTTTGAGCACAATTGGGCATAACTCAGTGGTTGAGTGTTGACCTAGGATCCAGGTGATTGGGGTTCGATTCCCAGTCAGGGCACATGCCTTTGTTGCCGTCTAGGCAGCCGATCAATGATTCTTTCATCACTGATGTTTCTCTCTCTCTCTCTCCCTCTCCTTTCCTCTCTCTGAAATCAATAAAGATATATTTTAAAAAGAAAGTATTTTGAAATTTTTAAATATGAGGATTTCGGAATATACACAAAAACACAAAGACTGGTATAATGAACCTCTGTGTACCATCGCTCAGCTGCAGCTCTTATCGAGATATGGCTAATCTAGTTTCAACAATGAGCCCTACTCCTACTCCACTACAGTCAGGCCTGGGTTATTTTGAAGCCATCCAAGACATCTTAACAATTCCTATTGGGATGTTGTAGAAAGCAACAAACACTGATCTCCAAGCAGTGGAAGTATTTGGGGGACTAAGTAGACCACTGGCCAGCCCCTAAGCAGAGACTGGTGGTCTAGAACCTTGAGTCATTTTATTTTTATTTATTTATTTTTATTTTTTAAAATATATCTTTATTGATTTCAGAGAGAGGAAAGGAGAGGGAGAGAGAGAGATAGAAACATCAATGACGACAGAGTCATTGATCAGCTGCAGCCCATAACCCGCGCACGTGCCCTGACCGGGAATCGAACCCTGATCGCCTGGATCCTAGGTCGATGCTTAACCACTGAACCACGCCCGGCCAGGTCAGAACCTTGAGTCATTTTAAATATTTCGAAGAGCCTCAGGAAAGTCAGGTGGCACAGACAGCTTATATTAAATGCTTTTACTTTTAGTCTGGGGTGTGTCAACCTGTCTTATTGGCAGTCACTCTCTTATGCTAATCAGATGCTCTGGGATTCATAGGGATGGGGTCTTTAAGGGCAAGATTTTAAAATTCAGTCCTAAGGCCAGGATGTTGTAGAGGGGATGCAAATCCATAATTTAGTTTAAAAAACATTTATGTGGTGCACGTCATATGACAGAAACATTTTTCCTGATAACCATCTTATGAGGTAGGTGCTACTATTATTCTGATTTTGTACAGGAGGAAACCGAGGTACAGGGAGATTAAATAACTCATCCAGATCTCTCAGCTACTAAATTGTAGCTGGACTGGGATTTGAATCAAATAAATTCAAATGAAAATGAAAATCACAAGGAGACAAACTCTGTGCTAGGTAATGGAAATAAAACAGCAAAGGAGAAATGGTCACATCCCTCTAAGTTTCTTACACTCTCCAGTTTGGCCATAAAATACGGAAATACAAAACGATATTAGTAAATATCAATTTTGCAATATTAACGCAGCATTCCCTCCTGTCTTGCAGCGCATCTGCAATGCATCCCCTCTGACGAACGGTCTCTGATTTTCACTGAACCTGTCTATGCCTTTAGCATGCCCAGAAGTAATCAAGTGTTCAGATCCCGCTCCTCTGCCACCTACTCTACGTGGTCACAGGTCAAACGTAGTTTGAGAAGTTATTGGGTCGGCCCCCTCACTCTGGCACCCTGGATGGTGCGCCATCCTACTGGAACCACGCTGGACGAACTTCCCCTAATCCATCCAGCTCAGGGATTAAGTGGTTAAACGCGTATGATCCCAGACCTCGTGCCAACCAAGTAGTGAAGGGGGCAAGCTTGTAAACAGGCCGTTAAAGTGCTGCATGTGTGAGGTGCTAAGGTCCTCATGGCAGGATCACCTAACCTAGTGCGAGGGGCCCTGGAAGGCTTCCCAGAGGAAATTAATTTTTAAATTTCTCATTTTGAAGTAATTTCAGATTTATGAAAATTTGCAAGAATAGTACAAAGAATTCCCATGTATCCTCCACCCAAATGTTACCATTTCATTATATTTCATTTATTTAGTCTCTTTAATCTCTCTCGCTTTCCGTGCTCTGAGAGGTGACCTGCTAAGACAGCCTCGGTCTCCAATCACCTGCCTAAGGCAGCTCTGTAGGGTGGGGTGGGAGGGGCAGGCCTCTGG